CGGGTGGGTTAGTTGGGTGAGTGAGTGGTTGAGTGAGTGATTGAGTGAGTGGTTGAGTGAGCGGGTGGGTTAGTTGGGTGGGTGAGTGGTTGATGTCGTGGTGAAGTGAGGGGTTGAGTGAGTGGTTGAGTGAGTGGTTGAGTGAGCGGGTGGGTTAGTTGGGTGAGTGAGTGGTTGAGTGAGTGATTGAGTGAGTGGTTGAGTGAGCGGGTGGGTTAGTTGGGTGGGTGAGTGGTTGAGTCAGTGGTTGAGTGAGTGGTTGAGTGAGTGGGTGGGTTAGTTGGGTGGGTGAGTGGTTGAGTGAGTGGTTGAGTGAGTGGTTGAGTGAGTGGTTGAGTGAGTGGGGGTGGGTTAGTTGGGTGGGTTAGTTGGATGAGTAAGTGGTTGAGTGAGCGGTTGAGTGAGTGGTTGAGTGAGTGGGGGTGGGTTAGTTGGGTGGGTTAGTTGAGTGAGTGAGTGGTTGAGTGAGCGGTTGAGTGAGTGGTTGAGTGAGTGGGGGTGGGTTAGTTGGGTGGGTTAGTTGGATGAGTGAGCGGTTGAGTGAGTGGTTGAGTGAGTGGTTGAGTGAGTGGTTGAGTGAGTGGTTGAGTGAGTGGGGGTGGGTTAGTTGGGTGGGTTAGTTGGATGAGTGAGTGGTTGAGTGACTGGTTTAGTGAGTGGTTGATTGAGTGGTTTAGTGAGTGGGGGTGGGTTAGTTGGGTGAGTGAGTGGTTGAGTGAGTAGCTTAGTTGGGTGATACAGTGAGTCAGTTGGGTGTGTGAGTGAGTGAGTGAGTTTGTGTGACCATAGCAGGAAATACTCGTGGGACCAGGATAGTCTCGTTTGCAAGCCCTGCGACCAGGTCGCCACCAACATGAACAAGATCCCAGCAGTCCACCCGGCTCGGGCCGGGTAGAGTCATCGGAGAGGTTCAAGGCTCTCGTGCTGGTCTGTGTTGGGGCTCTTGTCCACCGCAGCTGCCAGTCTATGGAACAACGCTTTGTAGCCTTGCTAATAAGACAGTGGGTGGGAGGCTGAGTGGGTGAGTGGAGTGGCTGAGTGGGTGTGTGGGAAGCTGAGTGTGTGAGTGTGAGTGGTTGAGTGGATGAGTGTGTGTGAGTGGGAGGCTGAGTGGGTGAGTGGGAGGCTGAGTGGGTGAGTGGGAAGCTGAGTGTGTGAGTGGTTGAGTGGATGAGTGTGTGAGTGGGAGGCTGAGTGGGTGGCTGAGTGGCTGAGTGAGTGGTTGAGTGGATGAGTGTGTGAGTGGGTGGCTGAGTGGGGTAGCTGAGTGGATGAGTGTGTGTGAGTGGGAGGCTGAGTGGGTGGCTGAGTGGCTGAGTGAGTGGTTGAGTGGATTAGTGTGTGTGTGGGTGTGTGTGAGTGGGTGTGTGTGTGTGGGTGGCTGTGTGGGTGGCTGAGTGGGTGAGTGAGTAGCTGAGTGAGTGGTTGAGTGGATGAGTGTGTGAGTGGGTGGCTGAGTGGGGTAGCTGAGTGGATGAGTGTGTGAGTGGGAGGCTGAGTGGGTGGCTGAGTGGCTGAGTGAGTGGTTGAGTGGATGAGTGTGTGTGTGGGTGTGTGTGAGTGGGTGTGTGTGTGTGGGTGGCTGTGTGGGTGGCTGAGTGGGTGAGTGAGTAGCTGAGTAAGTGTGAGTGGGTGTGTGTGTGTGAGTAGCTGAGTAAGTGTGAGTGGGTGGGTGTGTGTGGGTGGCTGTGTGGGTGGCTGAGGAGGGCGGGGGGGAGGAAGGGGGGTGGGGGAGAGGATTGGGTGGAGGTTGGGGGGGCAGGGTGGGGGGGCAGGGGGGGTACCAGCGTGGACCCGTCACTAGGGATGTGGTGGGGGGTCAGGGGGGGGGGCGCAGGGGGAGGGGTCGCTACGCAATCCGCCCGCGTGGAGGCGAAGTCGACTTCGCCGGTCTCGAGAATGCGCGGAATGTTGTTGTTGATTTGCTGCACGTCCCCTTCCTTAAATATTCAACATTGAGATTTGTGAGTCACATTGCGTGTGTGTCACTGTGTTTGTGTATGTGTGTGTCATTGTGTGTGTCATTGTGTGTGTCACTGTGTGTGTGTCCATCACAGTGTGTGTGTGCGTCACAGTGTGTGTCATTGTGTGTGTGGGGAGCGGTAGTGCAGCGGTTAGCGCGCTGCGCTATGAACCTGGCGACCCGGGTTCGATTCCCGCTCACGGCCAACACCGGTGACGATTATCTGAACCGGTCCTGGGCCTCCCCTAGGTCGACTCAGCCTTAAATGAGTACCTGGTGCGGTGTGTAAACATCGCCACTAGGGAGACAAAGGCGGTCGGGCGTGGTGCTGGCCACCCACCCCCTCGTGTACCGTTCCGGCCTTCATAGGTGCTCGCTAACAGCACTTGCCCCTACAGTCTGTTCAGGCTATACGGGGGATCTTTTATCTTTGTCACTGTGTGTGTGTGCGTCACAGTGTGTGTCACTGTGTGTGTGTCATTGTGTGTGTCACTGTGTGTGTGTCACAGTGTGTATCACTGTGTGTGTGTCAGTCACAGTGTGTGTCTTTGTGCATTACATTGCGTGTGTGTCAATGTGTGTGTCCGTCACAGTGTGTGTCTTTGTGCATTACATTGCGTGTGTGTCAATGTGTGTGTGTCCGTCACAGTGTGTGTCATTGTGTGTGTCACTGTGTGTGTGTCCGTCACAGTGTGTGTCTTTGTGTGTGTGTCATTGTGTGTCACTGTGTGTGTGTCCGTCACTGTGTGTGTCTTTGTCTTTGTGCATCACATTGCGTGTGTGTCACTGTGTGTGTGTGTGGCAAAACAACCCCCTACCTCCTCGCGGTGCCTGACGGGCAACGCTGTCGTGGGCAGTGCTGTGGGGGGGAGGGCCAATTCCGATTGGCTTCTCCCCCTCATGGCGTCTGTGACCACCACAGTGGCTAAATGGGGGCTCTGGACAGGTGCGAGGGGCTGGTAACGCCTCCACCTTCGATAAATTACAACTAAACCACGACTGATCCATCCTGGGTTTAACCAGGTTGGATTGCGTGAGGAGCTCACAAATCCTTGAAAGATCTGGACAAAGTCCCATCAGTGAGCTCCTCCGGCAGGCAAGGCTGCATTGGCTGGGTCACCGCATGCCTAAACAGCTTTTGTTCGGCCGGATTGAGGGGGCTAAACGGGCGCGGCACGGGCTAGAGAAGAGATGGAGTGATGTGGTACAGGAGGATGTGGAGCTGAGTGGACTTGCCGATGACTGGTACCAGCGGTGTCAAGATTGGCCTCTGTGGAGTAGGCTCGTGAAGGACGCTACTGGGCAGTTGGAGGCAGTCGCCCTCCAGCAACAACGGAGGGCGGAGGAGCGACGCTTACAACAACGAGCTGAGCGCCGGGTGGCTAAAGCACAGCAAGTTGGCACAGTAGTGGGCACAGGTGGTGCATCAGCCAGTCATCTCGGTCATCTCGGTCACTCGACCCGTGGCACCTGGGTCTGCCCCGTGACCTCCTGCCAGCGGGCGTTCGACACTTCACGTGGCCTCAAGGTGCACATGGCCTGGCACAAGCGTCGTGGTGACGTCACCGCCACTTAGTGGCGAATGGCGGTTGCTGTTGTTGTAGTAGTGGTTCGCGCTACGAACCCGCTACGAACCCGGCGCCCTGAGTTCGATTCTCGATTCACGGCCACCAACACCGGTGACGATTCTCTGAACCGGTCCCTGGGCCTCCCCTAGGTCGACTCGGCCTCAAATTAGTATTTTGTGTGGTGTAAAAAAAAAAAACATCGCCACTGGGGGAGACAAAGGCGGCCGGGCGTGGAAGCTGACCACATCACCCCCTCGTGTGCCATTCCGGCCTTCATAGGTGGTGCTACTTGCTAACAGCACTTGCCCCTACATGTCTGTTGAGGCTACACGGGTGGGGTGGATCTTTGTCTTTGTTTTGTCTTTGTTTTGTCCTTGTTTTGTCTGTGATGTAAACCAAGCTGTGTGGTTGTTCGTGCCGACTCTGGTGGTGCCTTGCAGTGATCAGTGTCGATCGGTCCCCCTATTCGGTGTCTGAACAGCTCCCGCACCACCAACTCCTCCCGTATTATTATCATTATCATCATTGCCGGAAGCGGTCATTCATTTGTTGTTGTGTTTGTAGCGCATAGCCTGGTTGATTACGTTCTTCCAATGATTGCTCAACTAGAAGTTAAGTGTGACATTTGAGAGAGAGACACAGACACGGAGACACGAAGACAGACACACAAGCAAAGAGAGACAACACAGAGACACACAGAGAGAAAACGAACTCAAATCCTCCCTGTAGAGGTGGTTTAAACTTGATCCAAATGTAGTGGTTTAACGCGCGCTAAGGGGGGTAATTGTAAACACGTGTGGGCTGAGAACAGTGGGGTCGTACCGGGACAGGCTGGTGTTGCTGGGGGACAACGGAGGAGACGGAGACGACCGTTAGGCAATTATGGAATTATGGAATGCAGGGCAGTGATTGGCCGATTGTTGTTGTCAAGGCCAAGTTGGCGCCAGTAAGTCTGGGTTCGGAGTAGATGGCGGCGGGGGCGACGGGCGCGGGTCGTGGGGGGGGGGCGCTGGTTAATTAATTAGAAATTAATGAGGAGGGGGATAAATAGGGGAGCGTCAGAGTGAGACGGGGAGTTGTGCTGGGAGCTGGACGGAGTCGGTCAGAGCAGAAGAAGAAGAAGAAGAAGTGTAGAGTAGCAGTGGAGTTGGAAAAAGAAGTATAGGGTAGCAGTAGAGACAGAGAAAGCTGAACGAGAGAGATAGAGTGAGACGGAGAAGCCGAGAGGGGAGTCGGGGGAGAGACGGAGAGAGAGAGGGAGGAACGGAGCGAGCGGAGAACGCGCTGGAGAATGGTGGCGAAATGTGCTGTGTTGGACAAAATAAAGTGACGACAGAAAGGGAAGAAGTTGTCCGCGTGAAGTTCAGCACTACACAAACAATTCAAATCACATTTTTTGTGCTTCTCGCGTGCCTCTCGCGTGCTTCTCGCGTACTTATGTGCTTCTGTGCTTCTTGTGTGCTTCGCAGGGCCCGTGGCGGGCGTCATTGTGACTACAGCGTTCTCGAGCGTGTCTCAGATGGTTGGGAGAGACGCCTTTTTCAGCGTCAGTTTTAGCGGCAACTTGGTCGACCCAACAGTAACGTGGACGTTTAACAACAAAATCGTCGAATGGCCAGCCAGCAACATAGGCGGTAACTCTGTAAGTTCTGCTTTCTTATCACCTTCGGTTGTGTTACCAGCTAGGACCAGGCCTACCCTAACATTACCGCCCTAACACTACCATAACCCCAATCACTAACCCTACCATAATCCCTATCACTACCTTAACTCCTATCACTACCCCTATCTCTACCCCTACCACTACCCCTACCACTACCCCCCTAACACTACCATAACCCCAATCACTACCCCTACCATAATCCCTATCACTACCCCTACCCCTATCACTACCATTACCTACCCCCATTACTACCCCTATCACTACCCTAAACCCTATCACTACCATTACCCCGACCACTACTGCTGCACCCTAGCACCTGATCCCTAGCTACGACCCGTACCACTACCCTCACCGTATCACCACCACTACCACTACCCCATCCACTCCTTACCCATTCCCGCCTGCTCTGCTGTCCTAACTGTCACCACAACTCCGCCGCCACCACCACTGCCACTACCACCACCGTCGCCACCACCGCTGCCGCCGCCGCCACCGCCACCGCCGCCGCTACTGCCACCACCACCGCCGCCACCGTCGTCACCATCGCCATCACGATCACCACGATAGCCACCGCCGTCACCACCGCCAGTACCACCAGTACCACCACTGCCGCCACTACCACCACTACCACCACCACAGCCACCGACACGACACATCTTGCACTCCGCAGGCTGCGGCCTAGGCCCTGCTAACTCGACCTAGATTATTTTTTCATTCGGGGGGGGGGAAATGCCTTGGACGATTTTTTTTTTGAGCCTCCATCACCGACTCCACCCCACCTCCACCCTTCACGCTTCTCCTCCTCGTTGTCCGTTGCTTGCCGGGTTGTCGGCCCGCAGACTCGGGAGGAGTACAAGGGGCGTATCGCGATCTACAACAACGGCTCGCTGCTCCTCCAGCGGGTCACCCTGTCGGACATCGGAATGTACTCTGTGGTCATGGGGGACTTCTTCACGGATGACGGAAAAGGCAACATCACGCTGGGCGTCTACGGTACGTGGCAGTGGCAGCCGACTGTCGTCAGTGGCCAGGCGTGAAGAGCCCCCCAGAGTCACGCTGGACGTGTACGGTAAGCCGGTAGCGGGTAGCTGTACAGGGGGTCGGGGGCGAGGTGCGGAGGAACTCGTGACAGCGTCCTTCTGGCACACAGCAAGGTGGCACCGTGTCGGGGGCGCAGGTGGTGCATCTGCCAGTCGTCGCACGCCACTCGGTTAACCGATAGCACCTTGGTCTGTTGAAAACGAAACCATTTTTCATTTAGGCAGGTGTCAGGGACCCCCACTGAGCTGCGTGACTCTTTTTTCAGAAGTGACGTTGGCCATCACAAATGGTGGCCCAACGGAGTTGGCTCATGATCATCATCATCGTCGTCGTCGCGTGAAAAGTTATACCGGCAGCCAAATCGCTCTGAACGCATGGTGAAGTTGATTCTAAATGTGGGAGGGAAGACAACAGAGGACCCGGAGAAAAATCCACGCTACCACCACGGAGAGAGAGAGAGACATGCAGACTTCACATAGACAGCAGGCATTGTCAGGATCGGGATCGAACCCACGACCTCCTGCACACCAGGCGAGGTAGTTAACATCTCCTAGCCATCGTGGTGGTGATGAGAGAGAGACACGCAACCTACAAATATACAGCAGCAGGCGTCAGGATCGGGATCGAACCCACGACCTCCTGCACACCAGGCGAGGTTGTTAACATCTTCTAGCCACTGTGGGTCTGGGTAGGCCTTTGAACACCCCCACCACACTCAGCTGCTGCTACCGCTGCCGGCTGCCTCTCGCTCCACGGAACCTGGCACGGCTGCTGGGCTTGCGAAAGATGGGCCAACACCGATTGTTACGTGTGCATGTGTGTGTCTGTGTATGTGCCCGTCCCCGTGACCTCCTGTCAGCGAGCCTTCGACACTTCACGTGGCCTCAAAGTACAACTGGCCTGGCACAGGCGCTGTGGTGACGTCACTGCCCCTTTAGTGGTGAATGTTGTTGTTGTTGTTGTGTGAGCACGTCTGGGGAGCGGTGGCGCAGCGGTTAGCTCGCCGTTGCGCTACGAACCCGGCGACCCGAGTTCGATTCCCGCTCACGGCCACCAACACCGGTGGCGATTATCTGAACCGGTCCTGTGCCTCCCATAGGTCGACTCAGCCTCAAACGAGTACCCGGTGCGGCGTTTAAACATCGTCACTGGGGGAAACAAAGGTGGCCGGGCGTGGTGCTGGCCACCCACCCCCCCCCCCCCTCGTGTGCCGTGCCAGCCTTTACAGGCGCTACTACTCACTAACAGCGCTAGCCTCCAAACAGTCTGTTAAGGCTACACGAGGGAATTTTCACCATTGGAACCTCATTTTCTAGTAAAAAATATGATAATTGTTTTTTTACCCTTCTATTTGGCAACAAAACTGACACCTTTTTTTACAAGGAGTCATGTTTGCATAGACCACAATACCTGCAGTCGTCATGCAAACAAAAAACATAACTCTCATGATATATGCACTGTCCTTGAAGTTGATTGGTGTGGACCAATCAACTGCATTATGGCTGCAGGTATTGTGGTCTATGCAAACAGGACTCCTTGTAAAAAAGGTGTCAGTTTTGTTGCCAGATAGAAGGGTAAAAAAACAATTATCGAGGAAATCTTCGTCGTTGTGTGCGCGTGTGCGCGTGTGCCCATGCTCACATACGTGCTTCCCAAGAACCCACAGACTAAACTCAAGTTTCCTCCCGTCCCGAAGTCTTCGGTCTTCCAAAATGCGCAGCTGCGCTCTAAATATCACCCCCCCCCCCCAACTCTCCTTGCCACCGCTACACCCGAATCGACGGATCGTAATTCCTCGCCGCCCTGTGCCGCGCCGCCGGTCCTCGCGGGTCGTTGATGCCCTACGTTGAGGCTTCCGGCGTGCGGTTTTGATCGTTGACGTCCGAAGTTTCGCCGCGCGCTGCTCTCGAAGCTTACTGCTGCCACCGCCGCCGCCGCTATAACAATGTTTTATTTTGCCAGGTAAGGCCGCCCCCACTGAGCTGCTTTGTAGCCCTTTGTCCAGAAGGGGCATGGCCATCAGAAACGATAGGTCGACGAAGTGGGCGGCTTATCATCGTCATCAACATCAACAGGTGGAAGTTTCTAGCAGCAGCTCGATACCCTGAAGCGGTGGCGATGTCGATTCTAAAGTGTGCAAATATACGGGCGGCGTCAGGGTCGGGGGATCGAAGCCACGACCTCCTGTCTACAAAGCGAGGGAGCTGACATCTCTTGGAAAACCGTGGCGCCTTTTCAGGAACTGGACACAACAGAAATAAAATTCGGCACGGCCATGGAACAACAACCAACAACAACAGCCAACAACAACAAGCCTATGCGGAGCGCGACTCATGACCTCCTCTTGATACCAAGATCCAGGATGGTCATGTCTATGCGCCGCTTCTCGGTGGCAGCCCCAACAGTCTTTTTAAATCCTTTATATTAATTCATAATCAACGATTTTTGGGTTTAGATCGCGTTTATTTATAAATGTGTCGTAACCCTCCACCACCCGACACGGCCAATCAGTAAAAAATGTGTCACGTTGACAAAGACAAATAGTTCACTGCTTTAGCCCACCGGTGTGTTGAAGCAACAACATTCACAATTTGAGTACGACGTTTCGCTGGTAATTACAACCAGCATCATCGGGCAATTCGCCAGAATGGTGAGGCTCTCCTGTGTCTCCCGTTCTTATATAGAGCAGCAGCAGGATGACGTCATCATTAACTCATTAACTCATCAGGTGCAAAGATTCAAGGGGGGAGTGATTGTAATTATATACTAGATTAGTAATCAGGCTATTGTTACGATGCGAGTTGTAGATTAGTAATCATTTGGAATGTGTTTTATTGTGATTATGCTACATTAGTAATCTGTTAGTGGTTGTTTCCCTTATAAGTAATTGTAATGTATCTTATTTAATAATACGCTTCCAGGCCGCACTAAGCCTGTAGCTGTCTGAGCGATTAAAGTTATTTCTGTTTCTCTCAATTTCAATCGATTCTCTAATTAGTCTTTGCCAGTAGTAACTAGTTTTACACAACACTTCCACGTTGTCAAAATCAATTGAGTGTCCCTGTTGGCATGCATGTTCTGCTACTGCCGACAGTTGTGTTTGTGATAGTTTAATATTTCTCTGGTGTTCTTTAAGTCTTACACTAACGTTACGCCCTGTCTGTCCAATATAGCATCTGCCACATACACAATTAATCCGATATACACCTTCTGTTGATAATTTAGGTAATTCGTCTTTAGTGCACGTTACTAGTTGTTGAATTTTGTGTACTGTACCAAATCTTACTGTAATGTTTTGCTTTTGCAAAACACGGGCTAATTTATCAGTTACTCCTGAGATAAATGGTATTTTTATTGTTTTAATAATCTGATCGCTTTCAGCAGTGTTGCTTTGCGATCGTGATTTGGCTTTTAGTGCTCTGTTAATTTGAGCATTATTGTAGCCATTCTGTCTTAGTGCTTCTTTAACATGTTTAATCTCTCTCACTAGACTTTCACCATCTGACACTGTTTTAGCCCGATGTATGAGCGTCTTGATAAGAGAGGATTTCTGAGCTGGGTGATGATGCGAATCTGCATTCAGATAGGCATCAGTGTGCGTTGGCTTTCTGTAAACGCTGTGTGTTATTTTACCGTTTGGGCCATGCCCAAGTAAAATATCCAGGAACGGGAGTGTGTTATTCACCTCCATTGCCATGGTGAACTGAATGGCCGGGTTTTGTGCATTGAGATGATTTAGAAAATCGTTAAGTGTATCTTTACCATGTGGCCAGACAACCAAAGTGTCATCCACATATCTAAACCAAAAGGATGGTTTTAATGTGCTCGAGGCAAGTGCTCTGGTTTCAAAGTTTTCCATGTACAAATTTGCTATAGCAGGAGATAAAGGAGAGCCCATTGCTGCTCCCTCCCTTTGTTTAAAGAATTCGCCTCTCCATAAGAAGTAAGTGTTATTTAAACAATGGTCTGCGAGTTTCGGAATATCTTTTGGTAAACCTGTATTCTTTACCAGTGTATCAAGTAATTTAAGTGACTCGCTCACTGGAACCTTAGTGAATAGCGAAATCACATCAAAACTCACCAAAATATCATTAGGGTTAAGTTTAATATCTTTGATCATATTCACAAGATGTTCTGAATTTCTTATGAATGATGATGTCCTACCGATGTAAGGCTGAATTTGTTTAGTTACATATTTTGCTAATTTATAGGTGGCAGAGCCAATTGTACTGACTATAGGTCGTAAAGGGATGCCGACTTTATGGATCTTTGGTAGCCCATACAGTCTAGGTGGTTTTGAAGCCCTTGGCTTCATTAGGAATTGCTCATTTTTTGGGATTAATGAATTTGCAATGATTGCAGTAGTCTTACGTTCCAAAGTATTAGTTGGATCTCGTTTAATTTTAATGTAGGTACTTTCCTCTAATAAATCTTTAATTTTATTATCATAATCGGCTCGTGACATCACTACTGTAGTGCGGCCCTTGTCAGCTGCTAGGATTTGAATATCTTTGTTTAGACGAAGCTCTCTTAAGGCTTTTGCCTCGTTCGAGCTAATATTTACTTTAGGTACTTTACTATTCTCAATAATTTTGGCAACCTCGTGTCTAGTCATCTCTGCCTCATTATGTGGAAGGAGTCTTACTGCTGATTCTACCTCAGCAATTATCTCATCCACTGGAATTGTGCGTGGGGTAACGGCAAAGTTAAGGCCTTTAGAAAGGACAGAAATCATGTCAGTGGTTAAATCAGTGTTAGTCAAGTTCATTACGGTTTTGTTTTCAAATTGTTCGTTTTTAATAGGATTTGTTTATTGTAAAGTCTAGAAAATTTGTTAATTTGGTTAGCATTTGTTAGATTAAACACATTATCAGCCGATTGTTGTGTTATAGTATCGATTATATTCCAATCATGCATGGACACACTATTGCTTATATTTAAATGTAAATGCT